ATATCAGATCACACCCCGTTGCTAGTTGATTCTGGCGAGGCCACTCACGTGGGGAACAAAAACACTTTTTCTTTCGAATTAGCATGAGCAGGGTTCCTGGATCTGATAGCCAGAGAATGGGCTAAAGATTCAGGTGGGAGATCTCCTGTGGAAAGATGGCAGAATAAGATTAGGCATTTACGAAGGTTCCTTCGTGGATGGGCTAAGCACATGCATGAGATTTATACGGATGAAAAGGAAAGGCTCCTTTTACTTATTCAATCCCTAGACTTAAAAGCTGAGTCCACCATTTTAAATACCAGAGAGCTGGAAACTAAAGTGGAGGCGGAGTTGAGACTGAAAGAACTCCTTCGAGAGGAGGAATTGAAGTGGGCACTGTGGGCTAAGGTTCGCAAAGTCGTCCAAGGGGATGATAACACTCAATTCTTTCATATGATTGCTAATGGAAAACATCAAAAAAAGAGGAACTTTCAATTGGAGCAGGTCGAGGGGACGATTTTAGGAGAAGAAAACCTCAAAATGTATATAACAAATTACTATAAGTAGCTGTCTGGGCCTCCGGAGGACAACTTTGTGTCCTTAGATAAGTCTAGGGTTGAGGATGTCCCCCAACTTGCGGCGGATGAGAATGATATTTTAACTGCCCCATTTACGGAGAAAGAGGTGTTTGAGGCTATTTCACAAATGAAGAACAATAAGGCTCCAGGGCCGGATGGTTTTCCGGCGGAGTTTTATAAAAAGTGTTGGCACATTGTCAAAGGGGATTTACTTCCGATGTTCCATGATTTATTCTCTGGACAACTTCATTTGTTTCAATTGAATTTTAGAATGATAACTTTACTTTCTAAGAAAACAGAGGCCGTTCGTATTGAGAAGTTCATGCCTATCTGTCTTCTTAATGTAAGTTTCAAAATTTTCACCAAGGTCGGGACCAATAGAATTACGCAGCTTGCGCACTCTGTAGTGCAACCGTCCCATTCTACTTTCATGCCGAATAGAAATATCCTAGAAGGGGTGGTCGTCCTACATGAAACACTCCATGAACTCCACATGAAAAAACTTGATGGAGTTGTTTTCAAAGTGGACTCTGAGAAAGCGTACGATAAGTTAAAATGGCCTTTCCTTCAACAGGCCTTGCGAATGAAAGGTTTTGATCAGGCCTGGAGGCACCAAGTAGAATATTTCACGCAAAAAGGGAGTGTTGGAATTAAAGTGAATGATGATATAGGTCACTACTTCCAAACACATAAAGGATTGAGGCAAGGCGACCCGATGTCACCTATCCTATTCAACATAGTGGCTGATATGTTGACAATTCTCATAGGAAGGGCTAAGGATGCGGGGCAGGTAGGTGGCCTGGTTCCGCACTTAATTGATGGAGGTGCATGGGGACACGAAAACGTCCCTAACTTCTACAATTCTTCGTGAATTTTGTCCTCGTTTGTTCCTACCACTTCATTGGCCAAGAAGGGATGTTTTGGCATAAGATTTCACTCATCTAAAGCCCATCAAAGTGGAGAACATACATCCACGCAGGAGACCCGTGGAGGCTGGCTATATAATCTCCATCAACCCTGGCTGCCAACCATCACTGACTGTGTCATGCACTGGGGGTGGTTCTTCTAGGGAGCCTGGCAGAAGTTCTGCTAAGGGGCCCACAAGGCCCAACTATGGAGGGGTGCCCGAAAGACGGGATAAGCACCTGATGGCCATCTTGGTCCCTAATCCAGGGCGGCGGCGACCTAGATCACATCTCTTTCCGTGCAAAACTCTAGGCTCCATCGTGTATATAAGGGGAGTCTAGGGGGCTCTCATTCTCATCTATTCCCAGATAGACCAACTCTCAGTACCAATCTCATGTACACCATTGTAACCCTCGCATGAGGTATTCCTCCACCATGAATAACAAACACGAGCAAGATGTAGGGTTTTATTCTCCGGAGGACCGAACCTAGGTAAAAACCCCGTGTGACCTCCAGCCGTGCTTGGACCCTACTGAGGGATCTGATGGTTTTCTGCACCGTCAAATGGTGCACCATCCATATGCTGCATCAGCTGGTACGTGCCCTAGAAGTTATTGAGGAATTCATGCCGCCGGAGGCCGAGGAAGATCCGATCTGAGATCGGTCTTGAGCCGAGGCAACCCATGCCTGGCACGCTAACTAACAATGCAGAAACCCGTTAATCCTCGGTAGGGGTCCTCGGATAGCTCAAAGTGTCAGTGCAGAGATCCCGCATTTTTTTAACCCCAGTTCGGACCTCCGGAGAGTAATACCCTACATCCTGCTCATGTTTTTTATTCATGGTGGAGGGATACCTCATGCGAGGGATTTACAATGGTCTGTATAAGATGATTACCAAGAGTTGTATCTACATGAGTCGATGGGAATGAAAGCCCCCTAGCCTCCCTTTATATACCCAAAGAGGCTAGGGTTTTACACACACAGAGAGAGAAATCCAATCTAGGGTTGTTGTCGTACCATCTTGGAGGTTAAGTTGATCGCACGATGCTTATCTTCTTCTTTGGTCTCCCTTGAGTTGCTGGGTCTTTTACGGTGTGTGGCAGGCCTTCTGTCGAGCTCCTCTCGGTGAGCCACCCCTGGTGTATAACATCGTCAGGCCTTGAAGGAGAAGTGCTCCCGCGATTGCGAAGGCACGCATGCGCCTTCTCCATTACCTCAGTGGCCGCGACAACGACGGATCCTCGTTGCGGAGCATCGTCTTGGCGGAGAAGAAGGCGGCACACCGGGTGATGTTCGCGAAGTCCAATGTCGCATCGTCCTGGGTCCTCGCGGACCCCGGCCTCACGTAGGCCTGGGCTCACGACCGGTCAGTTACCACCACACGACGACTGCTTCGCCTCGACAGGGAGCTTGCCAAGATCAAGAAAGAACGGTTGTTCTGCGAGACCTCTGCCGCTGTTAGCAAGGACAGCGGCAGGGTTCCCCGGCCAAGGTCGGCGTTGGCCAAGGCGGCCCTCCAGGTGGTGTATGAGGAGACGAAGCGGCTCCTCCGTGAGCGTCATGGGACGGCCGGACAGGGCTGCTGCTAGAAGGACCACTCCCACAACGACGACGATGACGCACGGACGGCAATGTGGGTGTTGCTGGCCAATCCGGTCAGGCCCACGAGGTCACCGTGTGCTGCAAGTTACTCCCTCCGTCCCATAATGTAAGATGTTTTTTGACACTACAGTAGAGTCAAAAAACATCTTACATTATGGGACAGAGGGAGTAGTATATAGATTTTAGTTGATTGGACAAAATTTTGTCTGGTTTATATAAATTATATATCAAACTTATGTCAATTTGCATGAATTATGTCGTGTTTTAAATGAATTATGTCCAAATCTGTTTGTATTGTGAACGGAGGTGTACGACTCGTTAGATGGACGGCTCCTGTATAACTATCTATGTCCGCGTCCGTTTTTGAGGGCGGGGTTGGAGATGCCCTTACTACTGGCAAGTGAGATGTACATTTTTTGTGTCTCTTATCTACACATTTGCCTGTCTAGTTTGTTCAACGCAAATTTTGGTCCGATTACTACCATGTTTTATCTACAGTATTAAATTTAATTAAAACACAACTGGAAATTCCTCTTGTTGACGAAACGCTGATCTCTTCCCTGCTCACCACCTATCTTTACCGAGTCCCGATCCATGTGATATTTGATGGCTTCGTGTTCGGTCTGGATTCGACCATTGGACGCCCAGCTAGAGTTTTTCCACCAGCCGTCGACGACGTAGAAGCTTCTTCCAGTCCCCCCATCCATTCGCTG